GTTTGTAGACTCATGAACTGCGGAAATGCAGACCTGTTGGGATTGGGAAAGAGAGGCGAGGAGCTAATATCAGCAAAGAGCCGAAAATCAGCCGTGCGCAGAACACAGGCACGCTGCGCGAACAGAATACCCCAGAAAAATGCGTAGCACGGAAAAAAAAAAAGTTTCCTTTCGCTGCCTGCTGTTTTGGTTTTGTACAGTGGCATGCACGTAGCAGCCATATGCATGTACCTGACCGCAATAGCAGCCGAAGAAGACAAAAAAAAAAAAAAAAAAAAAAAAAAAAACTCGTCGATAAACAGGAAGAAGAATCACTGAGTATCGCCATAGCCTTAGCTATGGAGTACGAACCACCACCCGCCCGCCTGGACGGCAGCAAGTCTGGCATCCCTCTACCGGTTTCGGATGGAGCCAGAATCCAGCCTCGTTAGGAGGGAATACAATTCCGAGATGAATGGAAAGTACTAAAGCTTACGACCTTCAAAAAAAAAACCCTACCACCTCGGTGCTGGTAAGTACTCCTCCTGGAAACATTTACCTCTACAACTTTAAGAAGAACGTTTGCAAGAAAGGCCAAGTTCGGAGCAAATCATTGTTGTTATTTATTTATTTGTTGACTAAGAGATGGGGGTAGATAAGGAGGAGGAGATTGGTTGGCGGAGAGAAGGGGGATTTGTCATTGCTCTTGTAAAAGTAAAAAAAAGAAGTTCGGAGCAAATCCAAATCGTGCTTGCTGGCGTTCCGAGGAGAACTTTCTAAAAAATAAAATCATCAGAAAGCAACTCCCCACTCAAATGAGACGTAAATCAAATAGGCCATAGAACCAAAGGAAGTCGCACACAAAAAAAACAAAGGACAAAAAATCCTAGTCCAAAACGCGACCGCGGAATATCGTAGACGAACACCAGAGAGTATCTGGTGCGGTTTCAGTAAATCCGCTGAAGAAGCCCCTTGCCTGCCTTTACTTTTCTTTTGCTAGAATCCTTGGTACCTCTGCTGAACGTCCTGAAGCTTATCAGTACCGATATATACTGTGTAGCACACCGAACATGTTCGGAGCTTTTCCGAACGTCCGAACACGTTCGGGTGTTCGGCCGAACGCCACCCAAACGTGTTCGGCCGAACATATTTAAAAAAAAAAAAAAAAAATGGTTTTTGATTTTTAACTCAAGTTTGGTTACGAATTTGAGCATACCTCCAAGGCAAAAGTTGTTTGTATTATTATTTTACATCACGTATATTTTTTTCAGATTTTTTGGAGAACGTTTTTTTTTTTATGTTCCCGTTCGGAGAGTTTCGGCGCTCGTTCGCGTTCGGTCCCGAACGTTCGGGTTCGGTGACACAATGCTACACAGGATATATATTATTTTTAAAAAGGTATCGGAAAATAAAAAGCCCACAGTTCAGATATTTCCCAGTCGGTCATCTTACTCTTATCTTTCGGGTACCGTAAGGGTTTTGGATCTGGTGTGATCTATATCTACTGTCCCTTGGATTTTAGTGCATGTCCCTATGTGACGAGCACGTATTCCGTCTCACATATCGCATATTAAAAACTTGCATTTTATTATTCCCAGGCCTAAGATCAGCGGCTTGGGAAAATCCGCAGGCCCTCAGGATAATATCCTCCGATACTTCCCGTTGCCATCCGCAATATTTACTTCCCCCCATTCGTTCCAAGAAGGCGCTCGTTTACAAATGAACTTCCTCAGGCAGCTTTCAAAGTATTTACCTGCGTCTTCTTTTTTTGTAGTCTCGCAATCTTTTTCAGCGTAAGTAATCCTAGACCTGCCTGTATTTACCTGGGTAATCTTGTAGTATCAGCATCCTTTTCAGCGTAAGTAATCGTGGATTTATTAATTTCATGTCTGAAGTCATCCATCCGGCTATACAGACAGACCTGTGTTCCAATCCAGATTCATGCAGATGAACAGAATAAAATAATTTTGAATTACCTAGGGCCAGTCAGTTCCATGATGACAACTCAAGGCCATCGCCCTTTAAAAAAAAATAAAAAATAAAAAATAAAAAAACACGAATAAAAACGGCAGCAGAAAGGATTCAAGAGGGGTCCCACTAGCAAAGAGGATTGGATTAAGAGCCCTGCATCTGGACGTTGCATTCCGCAGAGATGCAGAAAAGCAGATCAATCGCGAAGTTCTGCACCTATCCACAAACACGTCCAGATTCAAACGCGAAATCCAATCCTCGTTGCTAGCGGGACCTCGCTGCCGTGTATGTGTGTGCACTTGGGAGTCATCCGCTGGCAACAGCACACTTGCAGGCTCGGGGGTGAAATGAACCCAAAAAAAAAAAAAAAAAAAAAAAAGGCAACGAAGTACAACGAGAGTGACCAGCTTGGGAGAATTTTGTACGATGCTGTCGATAAAAGTAGACAAAGGGACCAAAAAAAAAAAAAAAAAAAAAAGTAGACAAGGATAAAAATACGGATAAAAAAGACAAGGACAAAGATACGGGGGTATATTGCTATTTGGGAAGCTGGGGCCCCCGGTTCCCAGCACGTGCTGCTCCCCACAATACCTCCCGCCCCCCCCCCAAAAAAGGATAAAGATAAGGATGGTCCCCAGACTCGTATTGTTATTCGTAATGAATTGAACTTTTCCGGTTAAAAAAA